CTTAGCTGGGGTCATCCTTGTGGATGACTGGGAGTTTCCCTGGCACCAGGTTTTTCCCTAGCCTTGAATCTCACCTGCAAACTGCCTCCTGCACCCAGCCTGCCCAACCTGCTTCCTCAAGTTCTCATCCTCCACACCCCCCAGTCCCGCCCCCAGTGTACCTAGGTGATCTCTTCTATTTCCCCTTCATGGGGAATCCATGCCTCCCTCTTTGGGCCCTCTTTGTTCTCTAGCCTCCCTGGGGCTGTGATTGTAGGTTGGTTATCCTCTACTTTACTCCTAATATCCACTTATGAGTGAGTACATACCATGTTTGTCTTTCTCAGTCTGGTTTACCTCACTCAGATTTTTTTCTCGTTCCATCCATTTGCCTGCAAATTTCATGATGTCATTATTTTTTTTTAACAGCTGAGTAATACTCCATTGTATAAATGTACCACATTTTCCTTAACCATTCTCAGTTGAGGGGCATCTAGGTTGTTTCTAGGTTCTGGCTTTTATGAATAATGCTGCTGTGTACCTAGTTGAGCAAGTGTCCTTGCTGTATGATTAAGCATCCTTTGGGTATATGCCCAAGATTGCTATAGCTTCATCTTGAGGTAGATTGATTCCCATTTTTCTGAGAAACTGCCATATTGGTTTCCAAAGTGGCTGTACCAGTTTGCACTCCCACCAGCAGTGGAAGAGTGTTCCCTTTACTCAACATCCTTTCCAACATGAGCTGTCATCAGTGTCTTTGATCTTAGCCATTCTTACATGGTATCTCAAAGTCATTTTGATTTGCATTTTTCTGATGTCTAAGTGTCTGCAAAAATCTATCCAGGACCTTGTGGCTTTCAGAGTCTCCACTGAGAAGTTGGGTGTAATTCTGATAGGCCTGCCTTTATATTTTACTTGGCCTTTTTCCTTTGCATCTCTTAATAATCTTTCTTTATTCTATATGTTTAGTGTTTTCATTATCATGTGGCAGGGGACTTTTTTTTTCTTATTCAGTCCATTAGGTGTTCTGTAATCTTCTTGTATCTTCATAGGTATGTCCTTCTTTAGGTTGGGGAAGTTTTTGTCTATGATTTTGTTGAATGTATTTTCTGTGCCTCTGAGCTGGAATTCTTCTCCGTCTTCTATCCCTATTATTCTTAAGTTTGGTCTTTTCATGGTGTCCCAGATTTCCTGAATGTTTTGGGTTAAGAGTTTTTTGGATTTAACATTTTCTTTGGTCGATGAATCTATTTCCTCTATCGTATCTTCAATGCTGGAGATCCTGTCTCCCATTTCTCATATTCTGTTGGTTATCTATGAATCTGTAGTTCCTGTTCACTTCCCCAGATTTTTCCATTTCCAGAATTCTCTCATTTTTTGTTTTCTTTATTACCTCTATTTCAATTTTCAAGTCTTGAACTCTTTCCTTTACCTGTTTGACATTTTTCTTGTATTTCTTTAAGGAATTTATTGATTTCTTCCATTTTTTTTGTTTTTTCTTTTCCTCAATTTCTTTATGGGAATTTTTCATTTCATCTATAAGGGCCTCTGTCATCTTCATAAATTTTTTTTTTTTTTT